ATCAGCTGGGATAAAAACTTACTCAACTCAAGGAAAAAGTTAAGGACACACATTCACACATTAAATTATAAAATACAAATCATAATCACACATTAAAACCAGTTGTGAAGACGTTGGTTTGAATAAGCGATGAATCGATGGTGCTCACTGTGAATGATGTCAGGTCAAACTCCAGCTGTGAGGAAACAGTTATTGTTTTCTGAGCCTGATCCACTCAGATGCTCCTCTGATCAAGATGCGATGCTGCTGGTCGCTTTAATACCTCATATATATGTTATATATACATATCTATATCACTCCTGTGAATTAATGTCACAATGTTTATAAGAGAACCTTATTCCTTATTTACTTATAGTGGGCTGTTTATTATAATGTAATCAATAAGTAGGCTATGGCCATAACACAGATATATTTACTGGTTCACTTGTTGCAGTGGGTTATAATGATTACTGAAGAAAAAGAACAGTTACAGTATTATTGTACTTTACTCTTAAGGTCATAACCTTAACTCTACTTGTGTAGGATGTAGTATCCACCAGCTGATGGCGCTGCATGACCAGGGTTTAATTCCAGATATGTTGGATTTCTTTTCGCCCTAGCATGAACCTAAAAAACAATGCTGGCAACTGTTAGAGCAGGAGCACAAATCTGGCAACACTCAACCAAAACAAAAGTGGCTAATCATCTAAATCACTCACTCCCACACTCTTGAGGAGATCAATAGGCGTTAAAGAGCTGAAGTCACTTCTGAAAGGCGATAAGAGAAGAGCTGCTGTGGATTACCTGAATGACTAAAAAAGTTAAAAAGATTATCCACAAACAATCTTTAATCCTGTTTTCACTCACCACACATGATGGAAACATGTAAATCTGTATGTAATGCAGAAAGAGCAATATGACTTTGAAACAAGATCAATGTAGGCGAACATAACAGCAGACTGTTTCAATGTGTTGAAAATTAAAAATGCAGTCGCCTTAAAACTATAATCGGTTATTGATCATTAATAACTGATTTGTTATGTAATTTGTGGAAGAAAAGGAAATTAAAAAAGGGGTGACCATCAATATCAATCAATAACAATACACGTGCAATACTGTTTTACTGTTTACCGATATCATACATGTGCAATATATAAGATTTTCTTCCTGCTTCTTTGGAATGTGTATCAGTGTATTGTTATTATTATATTATTATTACTGTGTCTTCTTGTCTTGACTACACTGAAATGAACAAAATAAACAAAAGCTTGTTATGTGTTGACCACTTTAAACGCATGTGATTGTTCTCTCTATACTTACTTTTGAATAAAACACAGAGGGACAATGATCATAATCATTTTATTACAGCAGGCCTGTAGTGCAGTGTTGTCCTATAGCCCGGTAACATCATTCATAATGTGTGTAGTAACCTTGTGGGTGTTGTGTTAACAGTGAGCACTTTATTCTGGAATCTAAAGTTTCCTATGTGGAATAATAATTTTTTTTTAAAAAGCTATTCCAACAGGAACATGTCAGATTTTTATAAGAGAACAGAGGTGACATATCCGGAGGAGGAAAATAAAAAAGAGATGGGGGGTGGGGGCTGTCATGTATCAAGCTAGGGCCCCTACGGCTTGCAGCTATTGTGGGCCCTTTAGCCAAAATGTAGACCTACGTCACTGCTTCCGCCCTGCCACCCTCCTCCTCCTCCTCCTCACCCTCCCTCCCTCCTCCCTCCCTCCGTCCCTCCCCCGGCGTCGTTGGAGCTACTCTGCCTGCCTGCAATCCAACATGGAGTAGAGAGAGATGGGGCTCTAGCGGGGCCACCCCTCGGTAACAGCAGCAGCAGCGACAACGCGCTATTTTACGCACAACTGGCACCGGAGTCGTCGGCGAAAACATGCGCCCTAGGACTTAAAATCGGAGAGTGTGTTTGTGCGTGACACTTGTGTGTCCGTGTGTTTGGGGAGGGAGGGGGGGGGGGGCGCGAGGAGAAGAGCTGGATTCTGCGACTAAATTGTCTGTATCGGCGGCTCTGAAGGCGATGGCTTATTAAAGTTATAAGGGGAGAAATATAGGGGGCATTTTGCGATCCGGGCCCGGACTCGGTGGCACCGGAGGGGGGAAGAAAGAAAGAAATAAAAGGAGGACGGTGGGAAAGAAGACGGTCGAAGGCGAAGCCAAAGAGCCGACACTCGCACAAAGGCGCAGGGGGGATTTATGCGGAATTGGAGACAGAATCGGAGGAGCCGCGGCGAAAGAATGACGAGCGAAAAGTATGCAACCGCCGTGGTCCCCTACCTGAGGTGAAACGAGAAAATGATAGAAGAAACACACCCAAACGAGTAAGTACAAAAGATTTCCCTGCTGCTTTTCTCTCTCCCTCGCTTCTACAAGTTGCAGATGATTGTGGCAACTTGGCGGAATGTGCAGCCAAAAAAAAAAAAAACTCCCCTCACAGAGCTGCTGCTTCTCCTCGTGCGTAATTTGCGCATTTGTATATTTTATTTTAATGTGATTCATTCGATGGTGTGTGTTTGTTGTGTGTGGTTGTTTTAACGCTGCTGTGGGATCAATGCGTTGACAGTGCTGCGTTAGAAGAGAGGTTTTTTTTTTTCCTCGTATGGCCCCCACCTCCAGAAGGAGAGAGAGAATGAAGAGGAGTGGGAGGAGGAGGAGGGAAATAAGCGTGGGTGGATCGGAAACATTTTCTGAAAGGATCTGAGGCAGCGGCAAAGGGCGCAGGGCCTGTTGCTCTGCACCGTCCCGGAGTTACACCTTTTCTAAACACACACATGGAGAGGCCTCTCACACCTCGTGTTTGTGCCTTGTTCGCTCCCGAAAATACAGAAACAACAAGCCGACGGCGTTTACTTAACTGAGGCAACTTGGCCTGGTTGTTTGGCCACATCTGTGTGTTTGCTTCCAACCGAAGGGGGAAGTCTCACAGGATATGAGATATCCGATATGCCTCATCCGCCATCTCTTTCTCAATCGCCCTCATTTGCATAGGCTGCCGAGCTCCATTCATAAAAAAAAAAAATACAGACGAAGACCTGGAAAAGACATTTACGCGTGTTTCTCTTTTTGACACGACCCGCGTTCGGTCGCGTCTGATCCGGGAGAGGATCGAGCTGGTGCGTCTGGGTGAAATGTGGTCGTTTCGGAGCCGTGCAAGGCCCACACAGACCCGCTCATGTGGTACCGACGGGCCTGGGCTTAAAATTAGCTTTACGGACAAGGAGCTGCGGATTCATGCGAGTTGCGTGTCGTGCAGGTTCCCGAGCTTTAAATACAGAGAGATTATACGAGTTCTTCAGTGTGCAGCGGAGCCTTGGGCCGCTGCGAATAAAACCCGTGCAGACGTGAGAGCAGACATGGTGGAGCGGTTTAAAAACAGCGTCAGGCTTCACGGGGCTGTGCTCTCTGTCGGCGGGGGTGGAAGGGCGAAGGGCACCGGAGAGGGGGGGGGGAGGAGGTGATTGTGCCTGGGTGGCGTGACGCCGGCTCATTCATAAAAGCCCTCTAACCTTCAGCGCGTCCCCATTCATGCCCGAGTCACCGGCCGCTGAGAGGCCGGAGCTCGGGGGGAGGGGAGGACCGTGTGTCTGGCCCGAGTCCCCGCCGACCCAGACCGACGCAGACCCGGGTTCGTGCCCCGCAGCTGCCGCCACGGAGGAGCCTGGATGTTCTAACCGACCTGGGTCCTTTTGTTTCAGACACTTCCTGTTTTCACCGCCGCTTCTGTCTGCTCTTTTCCTCCGAGTCACGTGTTCCCGAAGCTGCTGCTGCGTCAAACCCGAATTCTGAAGCGTTTCCATGGTGATAACGTGTGTTTTCTATCTATTTTGGCCACGCCCACGACATACCCGAAAAAGAAGCTGGGGGGG